AGAGAGAGAGAAGATTGGTTGTGCAGCAGCAAGAAGGTGGCGGCCATACCCGCCAAGCTCGGACTTTGCGAAGAAGAAAGAGGTCAGAAGTGACAGAGAGAGGAAGAGAGAGGACGAAGAAGGACGGAGGAGAGACGAGGGAGAAGGAAGACACCTTAGCCAAGGTGGGTGAAGAGGAAGGAAGACCGGGCCGAAGAGAGAGAGAGGTTGGCGAAGGAGAAGGGTCGACAGCCATAGCTGAAGACCAAAAAGTTGACCGGCGAGGTTGACCAAGCCGTTGACCAGCGTTGACTGGAGGCCGTTGACCGAGATATTGACCAAGCTGGAGTCGGTATAATCTCGCCAAGCCTTCAGCCTATCCCCTCGCGCTAATGGATGTGCACTTACCCCTTGGTACTTGCTGAGTCTGTCTCTCTTCTTTCTGCATTGAGTCACTTTTGTCCAGATGAAAGGACTCTGTGTATGCGGTCTGTAGAGCTGCGTTGACCAAACCTGCACGGGCTGAGTAGGGCTTAAGTCCATGTCTGACGACTGACATGTCCCGGAGGCCTAACCCTTCCAAGGACCGGTACAGACCGGCGGGCTGCGCAGTGTGGCATGGTAGGCCCAAAATCTGAGTTGCAGGCTGTACAACCAGCTGTCTAAGTGTTGAGAGGACTCACTGATCACTTCGTCCTAATTGCGACGTTAAAGAATTCCTAAGGATTTACGGGGGATCTCCTTAAATGCCTCTTGATCAACAGTAGAGTCCTGCAGTGACAACTTAGAAGTAGGTCAGGCTAGAGACCCTTGTTGAAAGGGTCTGATCCGGAGAGAAAGCCAAGTGGGATTGATCGTTGGTGCATGGTGCACTGGGATCTGGAAGTTTTGGTGACAGTGGTGGTGAAAGCTTCCGTCGGTTGTGGTAGCCTGGCTGTATCAAAGGAGAAGACTTTGTAATCCTTAGACAGTCAGTCAGTCAATCAGCCTGTGGGTAAGTCTAAGTGGCGAAGAGTGGAACTGCCAATGGTTGTGCACCTACCACCATGGATGATTACCTGATGTATTCCTTCCTCGTGGGGTTCTCCCTATGGGGGACCCTCTAGCGTCTCCTGTTTCCCTTAGGCTTCTTGCACACGTTTTCGTGTAGAGTTACGACGAGGGGTGGTTCAGGGACCACTCATTACACAAAGGAGCAGGAGGAGGAGAAGAAAGCAAGGAAGAAGAACAAAGCAAGGAAGAAGAAGAAAGAGTTGGAGAAGAAAGCGAAAAAGATAGCTCTCTTGGCAGAAAAGGCCAAGAAAGAGAAAGAGTTGGAGGAGGAATTGGAACGGCTGCAAAAAGGGAAAGAATAAGTTGCAGCATCTGTCGATAAAGAAGAAGAAGAAGAAGAAGAAGAAGAAGAAGAAGAAGAAGAAGAAGAAGATGAAGATGTGGAAATTCCCCACAGAGAAATGTAAGGACTGAGGAGAGAGGGGAATCTAGTGGCGCGAAGGAGAGAGATGGGATAATCGAGAAAATGGTGAATGAGTGGGTAGCCAACTTGGTACTGGGGGAAGAGGAAGAGGCGATGTTGATTGTTCCCCAGGCAGAAAGGGAGGCAGTGTTGAGCACATCAGTCCGGCACCGCACAGGGCAGCGCGGGACCCTCCCGGCCGCGTCACGCAGGAGTTGGTTCTTAATCCTCGTCGCGAATATACATGGAGCTTCCGCAAGCCGCTCCGACCGAGTGCGCCAGCCATACCTCTCGCGAGCCCCTACGACAAGATAGGGCCTACGCGAGGCACGACTTACCTCCACCTTACGGGAGTTGTCACCTCCCTTCGGTGGGCGTATCCCCGCCGAGCTACCAGTCCACAGTACGAAAGCTAATCAGCTGCAATCGCAGAGGTGGACCAGTCGAGGGCGTTTCTCGCTCGCTATAGCATAGGGGGTACGCGCGGTATTACGCCTCTATCGAACCCGCACGCGAATCGGCATCTTGGGGGGCTGAGGTCCCAAGCGCAACTTGTCGCCGGTCGACTAGGACGCATCCCACACGCCACGCGCACACCACTATAAAGAACATAAAAATAAAACACACACACACGTACATATACCTATACAGAACGACACTGAACAAACAACGCGACAACACTCCTAGTCCCTTAGTAGCCATCCCATAACTTTCCGATGCGAAAATCGGATAGGAGTCGCGCGCGAGACTTAGTATAAAACCGCGTGGACGCAGGGCTAACTCATATCGATTCGCAATGCAAGCGCACGCAAGCGATCGCGATGGTGGCGTACTATGTAGTACCCATACTCATGCGATCCTCGTTAATCTCGAGGGTCGCGTTCGACACTCAAGTGTCAGCTGACACGCGCCTTGAGGGTTAATCTCTCGACGCTGGACAACCACCAAGCGCGGTTGAGAACCACACCCTCTTCTGCACCCTGCGGAGAGTGGGTGGTACACAGGTTCATACCTGTGGTGGCAATCGTCTCCTATTGCCCTGGAGACCAGCTCCATCATCTAGGGCCTGGAGAGAAGTCAAGGGGTTTGACTTTGACGGTTGCCACGGACTACAACGTCCAACTATAAAAAACCTTTAAAAAGCAAAGGATAAGGGAAGGTCTCATTCCCCTCGAAAACATAATATGTTCAACCCTTCACGCGCGGTCACAGTAGGCCGCGCGAAACATTCAAGACATATGTACTTACATATATATAAAGGGTTATAAGTATGTGACGATCACTTCTCACAATCACAGTGGGGCTCCTCTCAACCATATATATATGTATGTGAGCGCAGACAGTCAAATCCAAAGTCCGAATCACCAAACATACCTGCAATCACATCAAAGATTCAACCAAAAAGTCCATGCACTACACGGGGTCAACTTCAACCATTCTCTGCACTCACACCCCTTGCTTTTAGCCATATGAGCCTCACTCTTTGTGCAACTCTCAAAATAAAATACTCAATACTTTTCTTTAAATGACCATTCAAAATAAAGTCCGGGTTAAAACACAACAAAACAGTTCAAATCACAAGGCTAAGGCCTTTAGGTTGAGTGGCAGGAGTGAATTGGAGTTGAATCGTAGGCTGACGAATCGGCAACCGACCTGTTATCAGTAATAACAGAAGATGATCCTCGTAGGATCAAGCTGAATCTAGCCCAGATCCTGAATCAATCGATCAAGGAGACCTGTAACACAAGACATGTCAATCCCCAAGCTAAGTGTATGGAGAAT